AAATATATCTAGCAATATACGGATAGTCGAGTCTGTTTTAATTGTCTTAATGTTCTGTTCTTAGTTGACAGTGCCAACAAGGATATAGTTTTCCTTCTGGATGATTCTGATGCAACAAGAAATGGCTTCCCTGCCATGCGTGATTTTGTGGAGAGAGTGGTGAAAACACTTAATATAGGTGAAAACACTGACCATGTGTCTGTGGTCCAGTACAGCAGAGATGCAGAGGTCAGTTTCTATCTGAACACACATGACACCAGAGATGATGTTTTGGGTGCAGTCAGAGGGCTGAGACACAGAGGAGGCAGACCCCTCAACACCGGGGCAGCCCTCCAATACGTCAGGGACAATGTCTTCACAAACTCTGCTGGCAGCAGGAGTCTGCAAGGTGTTCCACAGATGTTGATCCTTCTAAATGGCGGAAGGTCTTTTGATGATGCGGAAACACCGGCCGCTGCTCTCAGAGACAAGGGCATCATTGTGTTTGGCATTGGAGCAGGAAGGGCTGCCGGGGCAGAGATGAAAAAACATAGCATATGACCCCAGTTATGCTGTGTCTGTGTCTGATTTCTCTGACCTCCCCAATGTCCAAGAGCAGCTCTCTTCTGTAATGAGCACAACAGTAGTGCAGGTCACGACAATTACACCAAATGTAACCGGTAAGAGTGTGACGCAGTTTTGCTTTATTATTCTAAGATAATGTGATGCAAACTAATGTACCTTAGTCATTAGACAAATTAACAGAAAAGTAGCTTTTTGATTCCTGCATGTGTGGTCAGCCATGACATATCTAGGAAAAAAAAGATTCCAGGTATATAGTTGACATATCTCATTCTGTGTTCCCTAGTGGTGAGACAGCAAGCGGGAAGAGATGTTGTTTTCTTATTGGATGGATCTGATGGTACTAGAAATGAATTCCCAGCCATGCAAAACTTTGTCCAGAGAATGGTAGAGAGACTGAATGTGGATGAAAACAGAGATCGTGTGTCAGTGGTTCAGTACAGCAGAGATCCTGCTGTCCAGTTCTACCCTGAACACTTATTCAACAAAAGGAGAAGTCCTTGGCACAATCAGAGGTTTGAGGCACAAAGGTGGAAGACCCCTGAACACTGGTGCAGCACTTCAGTACTTGAAGGATAACATCTTCACGGCCTCTGCTGGAAGCAGGCGCCAAGAAGGAGTGCCACAAGTGTTGATATTGTTAAGCGGTGGCAGGTCTTAATGACAGTGTTGATGCACCGGCGTCTGCTCTCAAACAAATGGGTGTCTTGACATTTACAATTGGAACCAGAAACACAGACAGACCCGAGAGAAATGCAAAAGATTTCACATGAGCCGAGTAAGGCTGTCTCTGTGTCTGACTTCAATGACCTCCCCAATGTCCAGCAACAACTTGAGTCCTCTGTTGAGACTGTAATTGTTGAGGCAGCCCCTGAATCACCAACTGCACCTGGTACGTTAGACTCTGACTGACACCCCTTCTGAGTATAAAATATAATCTGTTTTCCAACCACTTAGTCTGGTTATATTCATAAAATGACTGTAATTTAATAGAGAGCATGTTGATTTAAAAATATATCTAGCAGATATACGGATAGTCGAGTCTGTTTTAATTGTCTTAATGTTCTGTTCTTAGTTGACAGTGCCAACAAGGATATAGTTTTCCTTCTGGATGATTCTGATGCAACAAGAAATGGCTTCCCTGCCATGCGTGATTTTGTGGAGAGAGTGGTGAAAACACTTAATATAGGTGAAAACACTGACCATGTGTCTGTGGTCCAGTACAGCAGAGATGCAGAGGTCAGTTTCTATCTGAACACACATGACACCAGAGATGATGTTTTGGGTGCAGTCAGAGGGCTGAGACACAGAGGAGGCAGACCCCTCAACACCGGGGCAGCCCTCCAATACGTCAGGGACAATGTCTTCACAAACTCTGCTGGCAGCAGGAGTCTGCAAGGTGTTCCACAGATGTTGATCCTTCTAAATGGCGGAAGGTCTTTTGATGATGCGGAAACACCGGCCGCTGCTCTCAGAGACAAGGGCATCATTGTGTTTGGCATTGGAGCAGGAAGGGCTGCCGGGGCAGAGATGAAAAACATAGCATATGACCCCAGTTATGCTGTGTCTGTGTCTGATTTCTCTGACCTCCCCAATGTCCAAGAGCAGCTCTCTTCTGTAATGAGCACAACAGTAGTGCAGGTCACGACAATTACACCAAATGTAACCGGTAAGAGTGTGACGCAGTTTTGCTTTATTATTCTAAGATAATGTGACGCAAACTAATGTACCTTAATCATTAGACAAATTAACAGAAAAGTAGCTTTTTGATTCCTGCATGTGTGGTCAGCCATGACATATCTAGGAAAAAAAAGATTCCAGGTATATAGTTGACATATCTCATTCTGTGTTCCCTAGTGGTGAGACAGCAAGCGGGAAGAGATGTTGTTTTCTTATTGGATGGATCTGATGGTACTAGAAATGAATTCCCAGCCATGCAAAACTTTGTCCAGAGAATGGTAGAGAGACTGAATGTGGATGAAAACAGAGATCGTGTGTCAGTGGTTCAGTACAGCAGAGATCCTGCTGTCCAGTTCTACCTTAACACTTATTCAACAAAAGGAGAAGTCCTTGGCACAATCAGAGGTTTGAGGCACAAAGGTGGAAGACCCCTGAACACTGGTGCAGCACTTCAGTACTTGAAGGATAACATCTTCACGGCCTCTGCTGGAAGCAGGCGCCAAGAAGGAGTGCCACAAGTGTTGATATTGTTAAGCGGTGGCAGGTCTTTTGACAGTGTTGATGCACCGGCGTCTGCTCTCAAACAAATGGGTGTCTTGACATTTACAATTGGAACCAGAAACACAGACCCAAGAGAAATGCAAAAGATTTCACATGAGCCGAGTAAGGCTGTCTCTGTGTCTGACTTCAATGACCTCCCCAATGTCCAGCAACAACTTGAGTCCTCTGTTGAGACTGTAATTGTTGAGGCAGCCCCTGAATCACCAACTGCACCTGGTACGTTAGACTCTGACTGACACCCCTTCTGAGTATAAAATATAATCTGTTTTCCAACCACTTAGTCTGGTTATATTCATAAAATGACTGTAATTTAATAGAGAGCATGTTGATTTAAAAATATATCTAGCAGATATACGGATAGTCGAGTCTGTTTTAATTGTCTTAATGTTCTGTTCTTAGTTGACAGTGCCAACAAGGATATAGTTTTCCTTCTGGATGATTCTGATGCAACAAGAAATGGCTTCCCTGCCATGCGTGATTTTGTGGAGAGAGTGGTGAAAACACTTAATATAGGTGAAAACACTGACCATGTGTCTGTGGTCCAGTACAGCAGAGATGCAGAGGTCAGTTTCTATCTGAACACACATGACACCAGAGATGATGTTTTGGGTGCAGTCAGAGGGCTGAGACACAGAGGAGGCAGACCCCTCAACACCGGGGCAGCCCTCCAATACGTCAGGGACAATGTCTTCACAAACTCTGCTGGCAGCAGGAGTCTGCAAGGTGTTCCACAGATGTTGATCCTTCTAAATGGCGGAAGGTCTTTTGATGATGCGGAAACACCGGCCGCTGCTCTCAGAGACAAGGGCATCATTGTGTTTGGCATTGGAGCAGGAAGGGCTGCCGGGGCAGAGATGAAAAACATAGCATATGACCCCAGTTATGCTGTGTCTGTGTCTGATTTCTCTGACCTCCCCAATGTCCAAGAGCAGCTCTCTTCTGTAATGAGCACAACAGTAGTGCAGGTCACGACAATTACACCAAATGTAACCGGTAAGAGTGTGACGCAGTTTTGCTTTATTATTCTAAGATAATGTGACGCAAACTAATGTACCTTAGTCATTAGACAAATTAACAGAAAAGTAGCTTTTTGATTCCTGCATGTGTGGTCAGCCATGACATATCTAGGAAAAAAAAGATTCCAGGTATATAGTTGACATATCTCATTCTGTGTTCCCTAGTGGTGAGACAGCAAGCGGGAAGAGATGTTGTTTTCTTATTGGATGGATCTGATGGTACTAGAAATGAATTCCCAGCCATGCAAAACTTTGTCCAGAGAATGGTAGAGAGACTGAATGTGGATGAAAACAGAGATCGTGTGTCAGTGGTTCAGTACAGCAGAGATCCTGCTGTCCAGTTCTACCTTGAACACTTATTCAACAAAAGGAGAAGTCCTTGGCACAATCAGAGGTTTGAGGCACAAAGGTGGAAGACCCCTGAACACTGGTGCAGCACTTGAGTACTTGAAGGATAACATCTTCACGGCCTCTGCTGGAAGCAGGCGCCAAGAAGGAGTGCCACAAGTGTTGATATTGTTAAGCGGTGGCAGGTCTTTAATGACAGTGTTGATGCACCGGCGTCTGCTCTCAAACAAATGGGTGTCTTGACATTTACAATTGGAACCAGAAACACAGACCCGAGAGAAATGCAAAAGATTTCACATGAGCCGAGTAAGGCTGTCTCTGTGTCTGACTTCAATGACCTCTCCCAATGTCCAGCAACAACTTGAGTCCTCTGTTGAGACTGTAATTGTTGAGGCAGCCCCTGAATCACCAACTGCACCTGGTACGTTAGACTCTGACTGACACCCCTTCTGAGTATATAAAATATAATCTGTTTTCCAACCACTTAGTCTGGTTATATTCATAAAATGACTGTAATTTAATAGAGAGCATGTTGATTTAAAAATATATCTAGCAGATATACGGATAGTCGAGTCTGTTTTAATTGTCTTAATGTTCTGTTCTTAGTTGACAGTGCCAACAAGGATATAGTTTTCCTTCTGGATGATTCTGATGCAACAAGAAATGGCTTCCCTGCCATGCGTGATTTTGTGGAGAGAGTGGTGAAAACACTTAATATAGGTGAAAACACTGACCATGTGTCTGTGGTCCAGTACAGCAGAGATGCAGAGGTCAGTTTCTATCTGAACACACATGACACCAGAGATGATGTTTTGGGTGCAGTCAGAGGGCTGAGACACAGAGGAGGCAGACCCCTCAACACCGGGGCAGCCCTCCAATACGTCAGGGACAATGTCTTCACAAACTCTGCTGGCAGCAGGAGTCTGCAAGGTGTTCCACAGATGTTGATCCTTCTAAATGGCGGAAGGTCTTTTGATGATGCGGAAACACCGGCCGCTGCTCTCAGAGACAAGGGCATCATTGTGTTTGGCATTGGAGCAGGAAGGGCTGCCGGGGCAGAGATGAAAAACATAGCATATGACCCCAGTTATGCTGTGTCTGTGTCTGATTTCTCTGACCTCCCCAATGTCCAAGAGCAGCTCTCTTCTGTAATGAGCACAACAGTAGTGCAGGTCACGACAATTACACCAAATGTAACCGGTAAGAGTGTGACGCAGTTTTGCTTTATTATTCTAAGATAATGTGACGCAAACTAATGTAGCTTAGTCATTAGACAAATTAACAGAAAAGTAGCTTTTTGATTCCTGCATATGTGGTCAGCCATGACATATCTAGGAAAAAAAAGATTCCAGGTATATAGTTGACATATCTCATTCTGTGTTCCCTAGTGGTGAGACAGCAAGCGGGAAGAGATGTTGTTTTCTTGTTGGATGGATCTGATGATACTAGAAATGAATTCCCAGCCATGCAAAACTTTGTCCAGAGAATGGTAGAGAGACTGAATGTGGATGAAAACAGAGATCGTGTGTCAGTGGTTCAGTACAGCAGAGATCCTGCTGTCCAGTTCTACCTGAACACTTACTCAACAAAAGGAGAAGTCCTTGGCACAATCAGAGGTTTGAGGCACAAAGGTGGAAGACCCCTGAACACTGGTGCAGCACTTGAGTACTTGAAGGATAACATCTTCACGGCCTCTGCTGGAAGCAGGCGCCAAGAAGGAGTGCCACAAGTGTTGATATTGTTAAGCGGTGGCAGGTCTTTTGACAGTGTTGATGCACCGGCCTCTGCTCTCAAACAAATGGGTGTCTTGACATTTACAATTGGAACCAGAAACACAGACCCGAGAGAAATGCAAAAGATTTCACATGAGCCGAGTGCTTCTTTGACACTGAATAGATTCAGTGACCTCCCAAATGTCCTACAGCAACTTCAGTCCTCAGTTGAGACTGTGATAGTCAGAGGCCGAGACAGTTTCACTGATATTACCACTCATATTGGTATGTTTCCACTTACATATTGTTTTCTTTTCTTTTCATTTCTTTTTTTATTTTTTTATTTAATCGTCCTCTTTAAGCTTTTCATTTACACTTTTTTCACATACATAATTGCTAATAGGTAGTATTTGTCAATGATATTATCTGTGATGTATTTTTGATCAATCTTGTAATTCCACGTCAGAACACCTACTTTATTTAATTATTTGTTTTTGTTTTCAGTTCCTCTTTTCATCTTCCGTTCCTCTTCCATCACTTTCATTTTCTAACATATATATTTTTCATTTTTCTTTAATTTCAGCTGAAACACAAGGTCCGAAGAAGGATATTGTTTTTCTTCTTGATGGGTCTGATGGCGTTGGGCGGGAGTTCCCAATCCTCCAGGAGTTCATGAGAAGAGTTGTGGAATCCCTCAATGTTGGAGAGAACAAAATCCGTATTGGTGTTGTCCAGTATGCTGACTCTCCACAAGCCGATATGTATCTCAACTCCCATTCAACCAAAGAGGCTGTCCTTAACGCTATAAGTGGGTTACGGAGACGTGGAGGAAGGCAACGCAATCTGGGTCAAGCTCTGGAGTTTCTCGACAGGGATATGATAACACCAGCCCGTGGAAGCAGGAGGCAAGAAGGTGTCCCGCAGTTTGTAATTGGAGTCTCCAGTGGTTCTTCTACAGATAACATTCAGCAGGCTGCAGCATCACTGAAACGCTCCAGAGTCCTTCCTTTCAGCATTGGAACCAGAGATGTTGACCCAAATGAACTTCGGATTCTGTCCTATGTACCCAACTTTGCGTACACTGTGGATGATCTTCCTGGCTTATACACAGTTCAAGAAACTCTTATCAACACTTTGACAGAGATGTCTGATGACGATATCGCAAGGCTGGCCCCAGTATTTCCTGAATATGGTATGACAACATTTTTACTCGGCAAGCAATGCCCCTTTAAAAAGTAAGGCTTGAAATGTAAATAATCTTTTCAAATTATTCATACAGTTCTGTCTGGCTATTTTTCAAAATTTTTATGAGACACTTAAGATTTGTGTACTCTAGGCATACAAAGATAGAAGAATGTGCACTAACTTGATGAATACTGGAAATAAATTAACTCTCTCAACCCTGGCCTATGCTAACCATAAAAGTGAAACATTATATTCTGAGTCACTATTTGGGTCTTTCAGATATTTATTGTTATTTAATTGTGATGCATGAGTATTTTGTTTTGTTTTTTTAATCTGCAGTAGCACCAGTCACACCAGCCCCATCCGGAGATGTCAAAAGAGATGTTGTTTTCCTCATTGATGGAACAACAGCAGTGCGCAGTGAGTTTCCTGCCATTCGAGAGATGATACGAAGAGTTGTGGATAAGCTAGATGTGGGACTTGATGCTGTTAGGATCTCTGTGGTACAATACAGTGAGAACCCAAGAGTTGAATTTCTCTTAAATGAACACTCTACCGCGCAAGAGGTCCGCAATGCTGTGCAGAGACTGAGGAGTCGAGGTGGCAATGTCCTCAACACCGGTCGGGCTCTTGAGTATGTTGGAAGAAACATCTACCAGAGATCAGCAGGAAGTCGAATTGAGGAGGGTGTTCCACAGTTTCTCATTTTGGTCACTGGAGGAAAGTCTTCTGATGATGTGTCATCTGCCGCTGATCAGTTAAAGAGGAACCAGATTGCGCCTCTTGCTGTTGGCTCCAAAAACGCTGATGCGGATGAGCTGAGAGAAATTTCTCTGAAACCAGAATTTGCCCATAAAGTCGACTCTTTCAATGAACTTCCAAGTGTTGAGAATAAACTGCTGGATTCAGTCAAAACTACATCCACCACTGATATTATCCAAGGTTATGTCCCTGGACCTCGACCTCCTGTGGATGTTGGTAAGAAATGTTTTCTCTTCTGTACTTTGTTACTTCACATTCACTAACTTTAATATGACTATGAATAATGACTACCATAGAATGCTTTCTTGTCACTAGTTTGTTGATTGAACTCTCTGGTGCATGTTGGACTGCAAGAGATAAAAACCTGATGTTTTATACATCAGCGTTTTATCACCATCTCACTCGTTACCGTCTTATTGGCTTCACAACTCAAAAAGTAGGACTGTCAGTATCTTGGAGACTTGTGCATAAGTGAGGGTAGGAATTAGGGGAAGATTGATAGACAAATTGGCACAGTGTCCCCGTCAGTGTGGTTGCTGTGTCAGTCTGTTGTGGTAAAAAAAAAAAAAGAGTTAAGCCAAGTGGCAGAACTCTTTATTTACTGGTCAATCTACATTCGTACTCACACTTATGGTCAAAAGGACAAGAATTCAGATACATGTGGCTCAATTGAGCTTCTTCTGCAGGACGACTGACTCTCACTTAGAGCTCAGTCACCTCAGAGGAACTCTAAGGAAATCTGCTGTTCCTCCATAGTGATAGGACACATTGACCCTGGACACGCTTGAGGCACTATGCCTTTCAGCTGTCATGTGAAACCCTGGCTCCCTATAATGCAGAGCAAGTGTCAAGGAGAGGGAAGTCTCTACTTAGACTGCTGCCCCTGAACCCAACACAAGCAGATGTATGTATGGAAGACATTTTTAATTATAAATATTTGTTGTGATCATATTGCAGAAATTGCCAATCTTGGAAGAAAGGACATAATCTTCCTTATTGATGGCTCTGACAATACTGGAGCCTCAGGCATTGCTCACATCCGCGATTTCATCCTCAACACTGTGCAGCAGTTGGATGTGCAGCCAGACCAAGTGCGTGTGGGAATAGTTCAGTATTCCGACAGAGTCAAAACTGAATTCTCTCTGAATTCCCACAACAACAAAGCAGCTGTTTTATCGGCCATTAAGAGGCTCAGGCAAATGGGTGGTCGCTCTTCAGACCTTGCAGATGCCATCAACTATGTCATACAAAATGAGCTTAAACCATCAGCTGGAGTTCGCCCAATCGAGGCTTCACAACATCTCGTGGTCCTGACTGGTGGACGATCATCCCAAGATGTGGCTATTTTTGGTCCACTGCTCAGGAGCGCTAGGGTGAATTGCATTGGTGTTGGTGCATCTGGTGCTGATAGAAGACAGCTACAACAAATCGCCACCAACCCAGAAGATGTTCTTCATGTGCCAACGTTCCCATCCCTGCCAGTACTCAAAGACACGCTCATCACCAGACTGAGAGGAACAATTGAAGAAATCCCAACTGTGATTGAAGGTACTAGATGAGTCAGTGCGTTTACATGCAGAGCAAACCTGGAACATGGCAATACACCCCCAAATAAGTAATTACAGCAAAAGTTCTCATGTTACAATTTTAAAGAACACATATTATGCTAAATTTACTTTTTTGAGCTTTTGACCATGTTATACTGTTGTTCCTTCATCATAAACATATGTAGTGTTGTATTTTTGCTTATTTCATTAATCCATTAATCCAAATGGATCTTCTCGGAACACTCAAAATGGTTTGCATTTTGCCTTTTTAGTTGTGTCACAGATAAAACTATTCCTCTGCTTCAGTTTTGCTACGCACTTCTTAAGCACATAAACCATCACTGGACTGATTCAACAGTCAAATTGTGTTCACAATGAACACCTCAGCATAGCAGTCATGTGGGATAAGGACTTGATTTGTTTACTTTGCCATTGTTCATTTTCATTGCTGACAGAAGAGGGATCTCCAACCTCTAAATATCTCACTGGAAACGGAGGTGACGTTTATAAAGTATATTTTCCAATGCAGCCATATTTTATGTTAGAAAATGTGAAACTCTCGCCCCGTAACGAAAAGCATGTTTAAAAGAGAATTAATCCAACAAGAATGCATAATATGTGTTGTTTAAATGTAACAGTGAACTAAACTAATCCTGGACTATATGTTGCCTTGCTTGTGTTGATAAATGTCTGTCCTACCATATCAAGAGTGAGTTGTATACATGCAGCAATAGTCCAACATCAAATCGCATTAACCTGGCGCGATTGAGAGAAATTCGAATGGCTGCCCTTCCAGACAAGGGAACAAAAGCAAAAATTTGAATTTCTGTGCCTGCATGTCAAAACACTGATTGTGAATAGGTAGGCTGGAATGTCTGTATGGAAGAGAAGTATGTAGTTTATAGCAGAATGTTTATCTTATTTGCAGTAGTTTTTAATGAAAGAGAAAGAAAGAGAGTACAGTGCAAAAATATTACATAAGGTGTAAAAAGAATATGAGCCAAAAAAACCATACTCATATTTGCTTTAAAATTCATTCAAATAATTTCAATCACTTAATAATTTCAATCAAGCATGTCATCACCCATTAATGATGACATGCTTGATTTAGCTGTGCAACCAGATAAGTAATTGTTGATGATGATGGATTTATTATTGTCATTTCAAATCGGGTATACATTAGTTTATTACTCTACTAGTCCTCAACCAATAACCCTGATAGTAATCTCCTGAAAGCTCTCATCTGCAAATTAGTTGGATTTTTTTCACCCTTAGATGGGAGATGTGAAACCTGTTCCTTTCCCCTCACCTAGAAAAATAATGATTTAAAATCCAAATAGTGTAATGCAGCTTGTAAGATTACATAGTAAGTTTGTGTTTTGTTAAAATATCTAAAATGTTATTTTCTTTTTTTCTTTAGTTGGGGGTGACGCAAAAAAGGCAGACATTGTATTTTTGGTAGATGGCTCCATAAACTTGGGCAAGGACAACTTCCGCGAGGTCATGAACTTTGTGACCAATCTAATCGACCTATTCTACAACGAGAAAGATGAACTGAGATTTGCCCTTGCACATTACGCCACAGATGTCACTGATGTCTTCTTCCTAAATACATACAACAACAAGGACGATATTATTAGTGCTATTGGGAGGGCTGAGTATAAAGGAGGACGTAGAATCAACACTGGTGCAGCAATCAAGCATGTTCAAGATAAGCATTTCATCAAAGGAAAGGGTAGCAGGAGAGATGAAGGCATTCCTCAAATCCTTATGCTTATTACTGGTGGTCGATCAGCTGATGATAGCAAAGCTGCAGCTCTTGCACTGAAGAATACCAAAACCAGGATCTTTACGGTTGGAGTTGGAGACAATTTAGATGAGTTGGAAACCCTAGCTAGTGAGCCATCCACTGTAGCCAGAGCAAGGACCTATCAGGAGCTGTCTGAGCTGAATGAGCAGATCCTGGAAGCGCTTGCAGATGAAGTGAAGGGGAAGCCTGTCTGTGTTCTGACTGAAACCACTGCCAAACGTAAGTAACAGTGTTGTTGTTTTCACCACCTCACCCACTTTTACTTCTGGATTAACTATGCTGTATAAAGAAGATTGATTTGTAGAATATAATGCTAATTGTTCATGTGCACCAAGATGTCAGCAATGCTATTATGTGGATGCCATGCAAAATTACACAAGAGGAAAAAGGGCCACGAACAAGTGGTGCCTGAACTTCTTGAACAGGATGAATAGGTTGAGTTCACTGCTTTCTAATTTATGGTGTCATAATTTAGACAGATTCATGGTAGTTTCTTTTTTTTTAATATATATATCACAGTTAAAAATCAACAATTTTTCATCATTTACAATATCATTATTTGCTTGAGATTGGGTCCACACACTATATTGATTTTATGGCTTTAAGTCCTGACAACTGACAACAATGACTCCAGTGATTCAAATTTGCCACTACATCTGGGCTCAATAAAAATAAAACAAAACAAAAATCAATTTATAGTTTATTTTCCTGACAGAGAAACTGAACTTTGTGCCAATTTTTTGTTCATGTGGATACACCCAGTACTTACAAAGATATTAACCATTAACAAAGTCAAACCATCTACATTTCCATAAAAACTACAGTATTTTTACAATACTATTACAATTGCAATACAAGCCTATGTATCACAAGAACCCAGCTTGTTAATTAATGTTAATGTTAAGTACCAAACTCAATAATACTTCTCATTTACTCTTTGCTCTTAAAAAAGCCTTCTAGTAATGGATCTTGCTTACAGAATTAAGCCTTTAATTACAGCATATTGAAATGCACAATACTCAATGGTTTTAGAATCAGTAATGGTCATAGATGGAAGTTGTCTTACATTTACTAGTATTACAACATCTTAAATTGTATTCATGGATTTCAGCTTCCTGCGCAACTTTTCAAATTTTTCCATTTTTAAGTTAAATTATTATAAAAATACGATTCATAAATAGTATGTTTTAAATTGTCAGTCATTATGGTAACAGACCTAATTTTTAATCATTCTGAAACCCATGGATAGAAACACTAGTATCCTATAATTGTAAATATATAATTATTTATGGCACCTGTTGTTTTTTTCCAGCTTGCAACATTGAAGTCCTGCTGGGTTTTGATGTGAATGCCCAGAACATCTTCAGTGCTCAGACTAACCTCCAGAACAAGATGGGGGCCATTTTACAGAGGATTTCTAAAATAGCATCGATCAGTTGCTCTTCAGGGCAGGTTCCTACTATTCATCTTGGAATGTTGGCCATGGGCTCCTCTGGTGACGCTGTACAGTTGGATTTCACTGATAATGCAAATGAGCTGTTTGAGGGATTCAGAGGACTACGCACACGAGGGCCATTTGTTCTCAATGGACAAACTATTTCAGCCTATAACACAAGGTTCAAAAGCAGACAGAACGATGTTGTGAAGGTAAGTACATGCCAAGTAATACTATGTTGATAATCTCACATTATTGTCTCCCCTGACTTCCGATGAAAACAGCAAATAATGCTTTTTTGAACCAAAATCACGTTGCAATAAAAAATAAAAAATAATTAAAATATCTATCTTGATTTTAACCAATTACAGATGTTTTTATTGCCTAAAAATGTCCTGTTAAGTGATCTCACTAGTTCTGAGTTTAAAAGTTTTAAAACTAGTGATTGACATATATTAATTGTGGTTTTGCAGGTTGTCATTCATCTGACTGATGGCTTGGATGGATCATTCAATGAAATAAAAGGAAGAGTTGATGAACTGCAGGAGTCAGGTAAAAAATAAGTTTATCCTCTTAAAAGTGCTCTATGTAACATTTCTCTACAGGGCCTGCCACTACTTGTCTCCATGTTATCCACAGTATCACCTATAAAGATATCTCTTCTTCTGTAATCTATTCAATTACAGGTGTATTTATTGTTCAATATATCTAAAAATACACACATTCTTACTGATGAGGGGGATTGCCTCTCCACAGATCTGACTTGTAGCTTGGCCTTGTAGTGTCACCTGCTTCCACGAAGATTGACAAGTGAATTTTAAACTAAAACAATTAAATACAGACAATGAGTGAACAAATTGAAAGTCTATAAGGCCTGTCTATATAAAATAAATGAATATATATTTTTTGTTTTCTAGGAGTAAACAGCTTCATCCTGGTTGGACTTGAACGAGTGCCTAAGTTTGAGGAGGCTTTGCAGCTTGAATTTGGCAGAGGTTTCAGATACACCAGACCTCTGCGCGTTAATCTCATGGACTTGGACTATGAGCTGTTGGAAGAACTTGTAAATATTAAAGAACATTTTCACCTAATACTATCTATACTATGTTTTTTAAATTGTTTTTGTATATATTTGCCAACAGGACAGCATCGCAGAGAGGGAGTGCTGTGGTGTCCCATGCAAATGTACAGGAACCAGAGGAGACAGAGGAGCAGTTGGATTTGGTGGACAAAAGGTATCAGCTATAACATTGCTGTATCTATATTGCTAATATTTTTATTTTTTTTTACCACTAATTAACAAAAGGTTACTTAGCTATGACAGGCAATAATAAAAAAATCAATACCTGGACACTAATCAATACTATAACTAGTAGCAAAATTTCATATTCTTCATTTGAACAAGTATTGATAGTAAAAAAGGATACCAGAAGATTTATAAGAGCCCATCGTAATATTAATGAAAGTACAATCATTTGTGTTGAAAAATACTCACTAGATAAGCATATTTTTGTAATTATGGTATTGAAATCAGTATTGAGTATTAGCCTTTGTACCGAAACTGAGTTTGAAATTTTAGCCTTCTTGCACAAAAATGGTCTCATTAGCAACAACAGACAGGCCTCTTCTTTGACTATGTTTAAATCCTCAAAATGCTTCTGAAAGGTTTTTATTCTGCTCTCTTTTCTGTTAATGTTCTTTTTTATGAAGATTATTTATTCTGTAAAGTACTTTGAATTACTTTGTGTACAAATTATGCTATATAAATAAACTGCCTTGCCTTGCCTTGCCTAATGCAATATTTGTTTTTAGGGAGATCCAGGTCTTCCAGGAAGTCAAGGACATCCCGGAGATGAGGGTGGACCTGTAAGTTTTAATTATCGACTTCATACGTCAACCTGAAATTATTTTAAGACATGTACATATTAGTACTTTTTGCAACCATATAATTTTAACATTATATTCATCTGTTTATTTATATTTTAGGGAGACAGAGGTCCTCCTGGTGTGAATGGTACTCAGGGTTTCCAGGGATGTCCCGGACCAAGAGGCTCCAAGGTGAACTTTTGTACATAAACTTTTGTTGTTATTTGAAGAGTATAATAATATTGACCATTTATTTTTGTGTTTAGGGTGCACGAGGCTATTCAGGAGAAAAGGTAATGTATTGTCTAATATATTTTAAATTAAAATTGTATTTATATTTTTAAGTTTTCCATGCAATAACTTAACTACAACCATTTTACAGGGTGAAAATGGAGAACTTGGTCTTGATGGCATCAATGGAGAAGATGTGAGTTGTGCAACCCCTCTACATTGGTAATATATGTTTTTTTTTTTTTAATAACTGATCCATATTTTTGTATTATTTTATTTTAGGGAAAAAGTGGAGTTGCTGGAGCAGGTGGAGACAGAGGAACACCAGGCAGAAGAGTAAGTCACTGCATGGCTTTAATAATCTACTACTACGACTGCTATTAGTACTATTATTATTATTGCTAATAATACTTTTACTACTACTACTACTACTAGTCAGTAATTGTGTAAAATGTTTTGCTTGTAGGGACCCAAGGGGGCTAAAGGTCAAGCAGGAGATAGAGGAGAATTGGGAATCCGTGGAGACCCTGTGAGTATATTTTGTTTAATGTACATATGTGATTATGGCTACATTCGCACTTACACAACACACTGAAATTGAAATTATCAATAAACTGAAACTAGACTTGGTCTATCTCAAGACTAAACCAGGACAACAACAGGTCCAAACCAGGTTTACATCTGGACTAAACCAGAACTAGTCTGTAAGATTTACATAAGACTTTATTGATCCCAGGAAACTATTTTGTCACAACAGCTCAATAATAAAGTAATAAAATATTTTTTAAAACATCATTAAACAACACAATATGAATATATAAAATAAATATGCAAGATTTATGAGTTAAACATGTGTAAACGAAGCAAAACTCAACTCCAGGTTTGTTTGTGATCAGGAAACAACATTATAATATAGATCAGAAAATAGTGTAATATTGCTTGGCACAAATAAATGGAGTAGCAATGAGAACTGAGAAGGATCTGTAATGCTGGCTGTGGCTGAATGACAAAATATATAGAAATGCTTGAGAGAACTATGACTTTTTAGGCATTCCAACATCACTTCATTACAAACAAATTATTAACACAACAACAATAAGATACAGAGGAAATATGTGGCTGCTGTCTTCTTTCCAATAGGGTCAAAGTGGTAGAGATAGCAACGTCCGTGGACCCAAAGGAGAGCCTGGTGATCCTGGTCTGCCGGTAACTAATTTGATCAGTATACTGTCTTACTGACATATTATAATATTTGCATTTTTGGCAGATTGTATGTTTGGTTGAATGTGTTTTTGCCATTTACAGGGAGAACAAGGTGATGATGGAACTGCAGGCATACGTGGAGATGCTGGCAGAAGAGTAATGCTTGTATTAATATGAATTTTGAGTAGGTTGTTTGTGCTTCTGTTTTATATTAACCAGAATCTGTGTCAACCTATAGGGATCCAATGGCAGAAGAGGAGCACCTGGGCAACCTGTAAGTCATTTCCAGTCTCTTTTGTTGTAGTTGGTTATAGATAGATATTGCACTATTTTAGAATGTGGAAACATTGTCACAAACTCAAAATTTTAGTTTCAAAATAATTAGATTTTTTAAAATTTGAATTAATATTTTTCAAATGATCACTTTCCTCAGAAATTAATATCATCATGTGTGTTCATTAACTTGTACTCTCCCAAATAAATAAACAAATACATTTTTTTCAGGGAGCTATTGGAAAACCCGGTCCCAACGGTGAGCCCGGAGAGCCCGGTGTTGCAGGCTCTAGAGTAAGTTTTTCAAAAAGACTATTAAGAAAAATATTTTGCAGGTCATTCATTCTAAAAATACCAAGCCAAAACGTGTGTCATAGTGTTCATGGTGGGAGCTGTTCTTGGCTGTTAAGGGTCTATGACACATTGTTTTGACTGGATCAGACCTCTGCAAATGATTTTCTGATGACGTTTTAAAGGGTAAACCCGGACCCCCAGGAACAAAAGGACCTAAAGGAGAGGAAGGAAACCCCGGACCAAGAGTAAGTCAACACACACACAACACATATTCATTACAGAGGAGATTGAGAAATAGCTCTCCTACAGCTCTCCTGGTAACACTGTTTTGTGCTATGAAATATCTAAAAGGTAAATTCACTAATGTCTAGCCTGATCATTTCTTTTAGTGACAAGTCCCATTAACTCCTTTACAACAAAAACAGAATTATAACATATTCATTTCAGTTGTGCCCCCCATCTGTATATAATATTACTGGCCTATAAAATGCTGTGATGTTATCTGAAACCCAGCAATTAAAAATACACTGATTTGTTCTTGAAGTATTTAGACTATACAAATAGGATATATAGCAATCGTAGCAACCAATATCCTATATCTATATCTATATCTACATCTATATCTATCTATCTATCTATCTATATCTATCTATCTATCTATCTATCTATCTATATATATATATATATATATATATATATATATATATGTGTGTGTGTGTGTGTATATATGTATATATATATATATATATATATATATATATATATTATATATATATATATATATATATATATATATATATATATATATATATATGAAGAATTTAAAGAAAAACTAATAATTATTGTTATGGATAACAATCAATCAACTATTTTGATGTTGATATGTACAGCTAGGGCTGTATTTATGCTTATGTTTACACTGACACTTTAGTCACTTTAGTGACATTAGTCACTATGAAAGCTGACTAATCCAATCCTGACTAATCCTGATTTATCCTTGGTTTCATACTAAACCTCCAGTGAAATAAAAATAACATGCAGTTTAAGTAATATAATCTAGACTCATTTTGTAGGGTTAAAACTGTAGCAAAAATATAATACTGTAATAATCATCAATGTTTTTTGACAGGGACCTGGAGGAAGACCGGGCCCAGGTGGAGCAAAAGGCAGACCGGGAGCTCTTGGTCGCAAGGTGACCCATAATTGAACTTACAGTGATTTATATTGGATTCACTTCTTCCTGAATTAACTTTTGTTTTGTTTCTAAATATGTTTTAATTCCTGTATTCTCACATTACTGGACACACATCTGCAGCTCTCTATAAGAAAACATTGCTTACATTCTGCAGGCACATGAATTTAATCAAATACAAGACCAAAAGTTTTAAATTACTCCTGTTTTTTTTTTTCATTTTGTATTTTTGGTTATGTTTTATAGGGAGAGCCAGGAGATCCAGGAGTACAGGGTGACCAGGGTCCAGTGGGTCCAAGAGGAGAACCAGTGAGTTTAATATGATAATATTACATTAATTATTACTCTATAAATGCCACATAATTGTTAAAGTTAGAGTATAGTGAATTTGTCACAACATCTTTATTCACAGTGATGTGAAAGTAATATCTAAATAAACACCTGACAATGGGTTACCAGATACTTCAGTTAATTAATTAGTTAACAGCATCCCAGGTTTATTTGTAACTGCAACTGTATTACCGTATATAAACCAGTTGTGCTATGTGATCTTATTATTATTATTATTAGACCATACATAATCAAATTATATTGTAATTATCCATAAAAATTCAAAATATGCAAACAAAATTAAAGGCAACTGTTTTAGGTTCATGGCGGTAGACTTTGAATTATATCTACTGGTGCAGTTTTGCTTTGAAATGCCATGACTTTTAAATTTATGAGTGAAAAAAATGTAACAAATGAAATTGATCATGCAATTGTGTTTTGTTTCCAGGGTGAGGATGGCAGAGACGGGTTAGGAACTCCAGGACCACCAGGGAGAAAGGTAAGATAATTTATATATGGCACTTTTACTAAATCTCTATTGACAAATTGTTTACAATTTATTGTCTGACAATAGCAGTTTGAAATTAAAGGCGGTCTACCTAATTTTTACTATGTTTAAAAATGTGAAAAACAGAACAAATTCATGTGCAACAATTTGTAGAGCCCAAAGTTATTCCTCACTTATCTTATGCATTGTGATCATCCTAATTATATCCCGTGATGAGTTTATGAACAATTTTCACAACTTTCAGAGAGTTTATCATGTCAGTAAGGTTAGCAACAATTATCATTCACTTCCTAATTATCATACTATTTCACGCATTATTCTTACTTGCAGACAGAACATAGTGGTCTTATTTTGACATCAGCTGCTGGTTATACAAAATAGGCTATTTGCAAAACAGATTTAGCTCAAGTGCTCAACATGGGAAAAAACTGTGCATAGGACCTTTAAGTGTCATTTGTAAAATTTGCTTAGAGTTATATTAATTTTTTTTTAACACTGATTGTAAGCTTCTTCTGTAACCATGATTGCACGGAGGCAAATTGACAGAACTGTGGTTGTCAAATCTACAACTACAACCTCTACACATTATGTTATTCACACATTCATACAGTAAACTTGGACCTAGTGTCCGGCCAAAGCACAGAACAACACTAGAGTGGGTGACTAGAGTGGGATTTGAAATGCCAGCCTGATACAATATTTATCAGATTTCCCCTGTTGATGACAAATTAGCTGATAGTTGAATATGTATTTTGAATCAGTGAGAAATGTGGTGCCTTTTCTCAGTCTGATGTTGCACCATGATAGAGAAACTGATGTCTACAATACTTACAAATCATAGGCAATACCATATAGTTTCATCATTTCAAACTAAAAAGTCAGGCATAGATCCTTTTAATGATATAATTAAACCTGTTTGTATCCTCCTTTCAACAGGGAGATGAGGGATTCCCGGGATTACCAGGACCTAAAGTGAGTCACAACCAGATGTCTTTACAATGTGGCTTATCTGCGTTTTTGGAAACTCTCCAAAGACACAGACAAGCGTGCACCACAGTAGTAAAATGTCTGTCATGTAAAACAACTATTATTTATGTTTGTGCATATGCTATGAAGTTGAAATAAACAGATAGGGAATAGAAGATGTTAATGGAAACCAGACACTGTAGATAAGACTTAAGTGAAGGTAGAAACTAAAAACATGTGCTGTGTTGCAGGGACCAGCTGGTGATCCTGGATCCAAGGGTGGACCAGGAAAGCGAGGAAACAGAGGACAGAGGGTAAGAGATATGTCTGGTTGCTATAAATGCACTCACTGTAGCAGGTGGCTTTGCTGACTTCTTGTTATTCCATTAAAAATCCTATATTACAGAAAATTTTTGTGAGCTTTAAGTCATCAAAAAAATACCCGGAGTTGTTTTTTGTTTCATTCACACAGCTCACAATGCTCTGTTCCACCTTATGATGTCATGAAGTAGTAGTTTTACATGTTAACAGCTACCGTTTACCTTTAGTTCAGTGGAGATCAGCAGTTCCGGGGGTGAAATTATCCAAATGATTCTAGTGAAGATGTATTGAGTTTAAAAACACATTATTGCCTGAATTACCACATGACATCACATCGTGTTTGAGATAATAACTCAGCCTTAATATCTAGGTTTTTGTGTTTTGTGTTGACTGTAACAAAACTTTAATTTCCCTTGGGATCAATAAAATAACTCTATCTCTCTCTTTCATGTTTGAATGAAAGAAAAACACAACTCTGAATATGTTTTTGACGAGGAGACAACATCAAAAAATAGTGTAATGTGGGCCCTTTAAGTTAATGGACTCATTTTAGATCCCTTGTGGTTTACAATGAACAGATTGTAAAATTGTGATCTACATATGTTAAATATGTCTAACTTTGTTGTTTAACAGCAAGTTTCATAGTTTACATTATCACAAAGTGTAAAACAACAATATGTATGTTCTCTACTTCTGTTATGAAAATGTTGCTTTTTTTCAGGGCGTCTCTGGAGGCATGGGCTCTCCTGGTCAGGGAGGAGAGCCCGGATATCCTGGACCATATGTAAGCAACTTCATACACTTCATATGTTTGTAGTGAGCTTGCTGACATCATTCTACTTGGCAAACAGCATGAATAATGTAAAAAAAAAAGTCACTATTGTTTTTAACTTTAATCTTAAATTAACTCTAATCTTTAATCTAGATCATAAGCAAAAAATGCACTAAAGGACATTTGTAAACAAACATACAATTAACTACCACGGTACAAAAATGAAGAGTATAAATTGAACTTGGTGCTAAATTAGCCTCTAAAATAACTAGTGGCTTAATTTACACAATAATAGCTACACCTTAATTATACTTAGTAATGCATGAACAAAGACTTAATTCATAAGGAACAAAGTTTATTAAGAATGATTCAGGCGTAGTCACTTTTTAATGAATATCCCAAACGTCACTTTGGACCCTAACCTCTTAATTAAGAATTAAATTACTAAGCGTGAATCATTTTAATAAAAATGTTTCCACTATGAAATATGTCTTCATGCTTTATTAAGGCTTTAACTGGTTTAGTTTTTATTCATTATTATTGCTTATTAAATGTTGCCAAAGCTACCAAACAGTCTTTCTTATCCCTACAGTAAGGAGGACAGTTCTAAACTAGTAACCCAAACTCTCCTTGAATCACAGCTGTAGCACTGCATAGGTCAACTGGGTCTTTGGTCAGAAAGACACAAATTCTACAACAAAAAGATAGCTACAACATAACATATTTGATCAAGTGTGCCAATACTACGTGTGTGTTTGGCTTTTATATTAGAAATTGAGCAGACTTTCATAGTTTGGAAATAGCTCCATTGTAACTGACCCTTGGCTCGTGTGCTTACATCCCACTGTGCTTCATTTCCACAGGGCGAGAAAGGTCCTCGAGGTCCTGGGGTTGTGGTATGTGTTCATTATCTTTCATTTAAACAAAAAATCAAAACAGATATTCATGTCACTGAACTAAAATGTCAAATATTTTGTGTCTATAGCAATGTGACCTGGTTAAGAAGATCAGGGATAACTGTCGTATGTACAATTTATTCAAAATATCAAAGTTACATAAATAATTTCATACAATACTAAGCGTATTTTTTGTTTTGCTTTTTGTTTTTTTCAGCTTGCTGCTATGGTAAGTTTATTTCAAATTGATTATTACTTCTTATAGCAATAGTCTGGTAGTCCAGTGACAAGCTTTTTTTACTATCACCATAGTTATGCCGTATGCCCTTCATTATAATGGTACTGAGCAATATGAGTGAAATGTCTTGCTTCCAGCTGAAGTTGTTTCTGATCAGATAGTGGTAAAACAAAGCTCAAATTACAGGCTATTAGAGCTTCAGACAAAGCAGTGTCTACAGTTAACTTCTGTTGATGACATCAGGATCAAGGAAGACAAAGGCTCAGTTGTGGAATATTTCAACCCTTAACATATAGGGAAACCACCACAATAGTCAAATTAGAATAAAAAAGATACGATTTTGTATTCGTTTCTTTCTCTAGGCAAGGATGAGTGCCCTCTCTACCCCACCGAACTCGCTTTTGCCATGGACGTGTCTGGAAACGTGGGTCCGGCATTCAACAACATGCGTGAAACTGTTCTCAATTTGGTCCGTGACATCACCATCACCGAGAGCAACTGTCCTCGAGGCGCCCGTGTGGCTCTGGTCATGTACAACAATGAGGTTACCACGGAGATAAGATTCGCCGACAACTTGAAGAAACGTGCTCTGCTGAGTCATATCGAAGGACTGCAGACGAGGAGGACCGGAAAGGAGAGAAACCTGGCAACGGCGATGACTTTTGTGGCACATAATACCTTCAAGAGAGTGCGAAGTGGGTTCCTCATGAGAAAAGTGGCAGTGTTCTTTGTCGCTGGAGCAGTGTCGAATACTCAAGCCATCACCAGAGCAGCTCTCAAACTCCATGATGCTGGAATCGCCACTGTGCTGCTGGTGAACAGTGAGAATAGAGAGCTAACAAGAGCACTAACGGTAAGAAGACACAAACATGTGAAAAAGTATGGGTTTAAGTTGATAGTATTACCTTGCAAATGTTTAGGATATACAGGGTTAGTGCTTGTCCAAAAAATAAGGTCTTGTCCAAACCAAGCACTGATTATTAAGTTCAGTTTAAGTTTAGAGCAGGTGTTTGGAAGAGAATTGAAAACTCACTGTATCACTCACTCAATATTAATTTCCTGACCATAAACAATCCAGAAATAAAAAAATGGCTATTTAACAAAAAAATAGTTCTTCTTCCAAAGTTTGATCTGTACTCCAGACCACACTCCCTCTTACTGACAGAGGATAAACATTTTATAAAATGCACAGCCTTAGTTTGACTCATAGTTTATTCAATAGTTCACATTGTCTAGTTAAAATATAAATAAAAAGGGCATTCAACTGAGAACACAATAGGTGATAATGTAAATGTTGTTGTATTTGGTGTGTAGGTAAACGGCACAGATCTGGCCCAGGTGATCGTCCTCCCAGGAAACACAGGAAGTGCTCAGTACAAAAATGCCCTCCAGATGATCAAGAGCTGTCACGTCTGCTATGGTAAAGGGGACTATATTGATATGTAACATTACACATTTATTCTGGCAACTACTACTGAGGTAAATGTAGTGTAACACCTGTCAGTATCACCCTATCAGTACTAGCAGTAGTAATTGCAGTACCGATAGTGGTATTTGTTGTAGTAGAAGCAAAATATATAAAAATATAATCTGAGTTTGCCTTATCAGTACAACCAGTAGTAGTCTGAGTTGCAAAAGTAGTAGTAAGAATAGTTTTTGTAGTAACATGAGTTGTTGTCACAGTAGTAGGAGTAATATTAATACTAGTAGGTTTAGTAGCATTTGTAGTAGTAGTAGTAGTACTAGTAGTAGTAGTAATACATCTGCTATATTTAACCATTTTCTAGATATAAACAGTAGTACTTGCAGTAGTAATAGTTGTAGTAAGAATTCTAGTTGCAGTAGTAGTAGTAATAGTAGTAGAAGTTGTTGTCACAGTGGTAGGAGTTGTACTAGTAGGTTTAGTAGTAGTAGTTGTAGTAGTAGTAGTAGTAGTAGTAGTAGTAGTAGTAGTAGTAATGCTATATTTAACAATTTTCTAGATATAAACATAAACATAAAACAGTAATACTTGCACTAGTAACAGCTGTAGTAAGAATTCTAGTTGCGGAAGTAGTAATAGTAGTAGTAGTAGTAGTAGTAGTAGTAGTAGTAAACACTGTAGTGGTCGTCAAACATTTGTCATATATAACAATATTTATTCACTCAATCCCCATGGTGGTAAACTGTTTCTTTAGCCACAGCTGCTAAAAACTGCCTCCCAAGCTGCACCTACAATCACCTTGTCTTGCTCAAGGGCACAACAACAGTATACAATCTTCAGTGGTTCCGATCAAAATAAATTCAAATGTTTTTCTTCTTCCTTTAGATGCCTGTGCTCCTGACCGGATATGCACCTACTCCCCTCCTCAGTTGAACCGTGACAAGAGATCTGGCATTACCGATGCAGACATAGACATGAGTTTTGTGATTGACAGCTCCGAGTCCACTTTCCCTTACACTTTCACCGAAATCAAACGATACATCGCACACATCGTGGAGCAACTAGAAATCTCCTCAGACCCCATAAACTCCCTCCACCAAGCCCGAGTCTCAGTTGCCCAGCAAGCACCATATAAGTACCTCCAAAACCGCACTGGGTCGCCTATTCACATCGATATCGGCTTGACGGAGCACCAGTCATCACAGAGCGTGGTTAAATTCTTGACTGAAAAGACACCGCAGTTAGAAGGAGGTCGAGCACTAGCAGCCGCCATAGAATCAGCAGTAGAGGATATTTTTGAGAAAGCACCATCTCCACGGGACCGTAAAGTTTTGATGCTTTTTGTGACCGGAAACGTGGATAAAAACGAAGATCAGCTGGTGAGAATTGCCACAGAGGTGAAGTGTAGAGGGTATTTCCTGGTGATTTTCGGAGTCGGAGATGGAATAAGGGCCGGAGATGCCAGAGTCTTGTCCCGGATGGCGTCTGAACCATCAGAAGTGTTCTTTAAGAGGATAAACAGTCTATCAGAGTTTTACGACAAGCACATCCTGACATTTGGACAGCTCATGCCCAAATATGTCACCAGTAAGTCAGCTTTTAATAACTCTGTACATTACATTTCTTATGCATTTTCTGCCAGTCATTTAAAGTTAGAGTCAATTTTACCCACTTCTTTGTCGTCTTGTGGGTAATGTCTTTGTTATAACTACTGTAGAAATGATATGTTGCTGTTTTAGATCTGGGACTATTCGATCTGGTGGTACTCAGAAACACAAATATTTTTGTAGGTGGTAATTGGTGTGAAATGTTTGAGAACCACTGGTATAAACAAAAGTCCTATCTAATTACATGCATTTCAAATATCATGTAAACTTACTGGGATGGTAGTTTATAAGCTTAAAGTGTGGGTTGGCCATGTTAGAAGACTATGTACACAATGCATAATTTGTTTATAGAAAGTGGAACAATGAAATTTCACAAATTAATTAGTATTTTTTTGCCAGTATAGGGTTTGATTAGTATTTTTTCATATAAGTTAAGATAACAGAAATGTATTGATATTAATATGGAACATTATGGTAGCTCAGTGCATAATTAAGTACAGATATGGCCATATATCAAAGTCACAACTTCAAACTGCATCTATTAATAATCTAATTAATAACTAATAATCACTATGTATCAGTGAATCAGTGAACTTTTCCCCTCTGCATTAAGTGTTATGATGAGGTCTCTCTTGGGGGTACAATATGAGCCATCCATCACACAGTTAAGAAATTAGTTGGAAACTCCAGACCCAAAGTGGGACCCCAAGAGCTTGCGATCCATACAATAATAACTTTATTACCAACAGATGCATGACATAATAATAACACTGATGCTCTGATCTTGTTCCAGTTGAAAATGCCTTCTACATGTCTCCTGAAGTCTCCAAACACTGCAAGTGGTTCCAGAACGATCAGCCATTCAAAAACCCGTTCATAACATCACACCGCGGGTACGTGTTAACACTAGTTTATTGCACATATAGTCGCCTATATATACTATTTCATACCTAATAATATTTTTTATGTCTTTATAGGAAACATGAGAAACGCCATGAAAAGCAGCAGGAGGTCCATCATCATAAAACACACAAAGGTTGGTGAAGGGAAAACATAAGAGAACAAAAATTAATAACTAGACTTTTATGTTTACTGTTAACATTACGCAATGTTTGTAGTTAGTACTTTCTAGATCCATAATTGTACACACATTTTTTGTTACATTTTTTGATGCTGAAAGCTTGCTACTTTGACTACATTAAAATTTATGAAATGTAAACAAAAATGTACATTTAATAACTAAGGCTCCAGGTCAGATAGTCACAATCATTTTTAAACAATAAAAACATATAAATAAAATTCTGCAGCTTTTTATGCTGAAATGCAACTATGAGAAAAAAATCTGAATACTAAATAAAGACACCCAAAAATTCTCTTTAAGATATTCAAATGATTCCTTGATACATGACACTGTCTAATTACATGTGTGTCTTTTCACAGCAGAGTCAGATGAGCTTCATGTCTTTAACATCACCTCCAACAGTATGAAGTTCCGCTGGAGCAGCTCAGACCCCAAGCACTTTGTTTACTTCGAGGTGGTGGTGACTCGACTGAGCGATCACGCCTTGGTCCTGAAGACAAATGTGTCTGGTACTGAACTGTCCTTGGACAATCTGCAGAGCGCCCAGTCCTACCATGTCGTCGTCACGGCGCAGACAGCCGATGGAAGCATCGTATCCACACGCAAGGGAATTGTCACCACCAGTAAGTTTACATTTATTTTAGTAGTAGTATAATAGTGGTGGTATTACAAAGCAGACAGAAGCATCCATGTGCAAAAACGTCATTACCACAAGTAAGTTTAGTTTTATTGTAGTAATAGTATTAGTAGATCAAAGTAGCAACAGCAGCAGACAGAAGCATCTTATCCATGCACAAAGGAAGCATCACTACCAGTAAATGTACAGCATTAAACGTCTATATTCATGGAAACATGCAGGAGATACCACCAGGCTAAGGGATAGGTCGGCTCTGTGGAGAGGTGACCTCGCATTTTTTTTGTTTTATTTTTTATCAATTAAATGAAATCAGTGTCATTGTTTTCTACCTAGGCTATGACCAGTGGATGTCAGTTGTCAAAACAGCCCTGTTTTTTCATTGTTTAATATGCTTGGTGGCTAATGATAACTCTCCCACTGAAAAGCGTCCAGTTCACAAACACTGGCAGGGTCTATAGCTGAGAGGGACTACTTGAGCACTAACCAAGGTTAACAGATTATGTTTGTTTTTAGGAACAAAGTGCACTTTTAATGTGTTTTAAAGAGAGAAATATTTCTTTTGGTAGCCTATAAAAAGGTGGAGTACCAAAAGAAAACATTATATAAAATTTGTGCCTATGGAGGTCTGCAGAAAAACACTCTTGGGACATTTGTGATTAGCCCAACAAACAAACAAACAAATAAAACACAGGCTTGCTTTTATGTAATGAAAAAAGTCTAGGATCATAACGCGGTGGTGTGCTTTTTACAGAAGCAGCAGCGCCTAAACCAGTCATCCTCAACACCAACACTGAAACTACAACCACAGCTCCTCTGGAGAAACCAGTAACAGGTAATGCACTCTTTACAACACTAAGAAATAAAATGGTTTCATCAGTATCTGTAGTAAAAACTCAAATTATAATTCCAACTTTGAATTTCTTCATGTAATTGTAAACATTTGTTGTTCTCTTAACGTGAGCACTATATGCCTGTCTCAGTTTAACATAGTTTTGGCGTGAGCCTCTCCAGCTGTTAAAGCCTCTAATGGGACGTGCATTACTGAGGCATGAGGACATCTGCTCTTCCAGACACTCTGTGACAGTTGTTTACTACAATACGGTCATTTGGGGGTTATTTGAATCACATAATAAAAGTTAAAATTATGGGAAGGATTTGGTCACACAAAACGTTATCGGTGGGATAATCTGGGGTTGCTAACGTTCAGATCCAAGTTTAGGACAGCTTTATTTTTTGTATTTGGCCATACACTGTTTTCAGTTACATAAAGATGCGTTGTGTAACTTTTCTAGTGGGGGTCCGCCACTTGTTTGTCTCCACGGATGTGTTATTGTTTTACCTGAAATGTTCCAAGGAGCATTTTCCATTACAGGGTTTCTCCTTGCTTAAAGAGCTACTATGAAAACCTGTGTTCTTACTATAAGTAGGCCATCTGTAACTGAGCATTGTGAGGTTGCCTGCATGTTTCCAAGGACATTTAATACCATACTTTGGAGCGTTCCACAAAAAGCAATAACCTATCCATTGACAAGCATGTGGTGGACTAACCTGGACCACAGCAAAAGAGAAGCAGGTGAAGCTTTCATTTGGGAATTTTTGTTCACTAAACATTCAGCACACTAATCCTCCAGACTGGTAGTCCTGACCAAACCTATTTTAACATTCAGAGATGGCTCCCCAGGCTGTGTACTGCGGTTGCCCACAGCTCCTGACAGGTTGTTCTACTGAGCTCTCCCTGAAGTATGGGTCAAATGCAGAGGTACACTTAAAGGTCTTTACAAGGACAAGTTAAGTGTGCCTAAAGTTGCCTGTATTTGAGTTGGTAATACCTAAAAATACACACAGTTGGATCATCTCCCAGCTCAGTACTCCCATGGGTGCTAACAGGGTAAGGTTGGATAATTTCCAACTCACTAACTGAAGTCGACCTTAACTTTTACACTGTTTAACTAACATTTCAACACACTTTCTTCTAGTTTGAATTCAACTGTACTTTTTTAGAATACATTTACTTCTTAACCAAATACCCTCATACTACATTTAATAATCTAATACCCACCCAAAGCTTGTATTAAGATTGATCCACACATTTAATCTTGTATTTTTCTTCTTTTTAATCTGTATTGTATATTGACATTACCCCTTTGTATGCCACTTTTTCAATAACAAACCACACCCAAAGTCATTTAACACTCTAAACTAATTGATCACTATGTTGTCACTATAATAACCTTTAATGTATTTAACATTTAACCTCTGAACTTTGACCCCTCTCTCCCGCTATCTCTCTTTCACTGCTGTTATTTTGGCATGTTGCAGCTGTGAATGCGTTTGCCGATCCATGCTTTCTTGACTATGACCCGGGGGATTCCTGCAAAGACTATCAGGCTAAGTGGTTCTTTGACTATAAGAACAGGATCTGTACACAGTTCTGGTACGGAGGGTGCGGAGGCAATGCTAACAGATTTGAGACTGAGGCCCTCTGCTTGAGAACCTGCATGAACACAGGTGAGTCAAAGGTGAGGCCAAGATTATACAGGAATGGAAGTGCCTGAAGTCTTCGCATTAAAGCTTACACCCCAGATTTGAACCTGCAATCTGCAAACTAGTGAAAAGTGAACAGAGGTGGGTAGTTACATTTAGTCGACTACATCTACTTCTCAGAGTAATTTTAGACCTAAATACTTTGATCCAGAGATATTTGACAATGTAACAGTACTTGAGTTTTGGTTCTTATTCCCTCTGTGAGGAAGTTTAAAAGTGACAAAAGCTTTATGTTGACATTATTAATTATATATTAATATATTCATTTGAACTTATGCGTTTCAGATATTATTTCATTTTTTCTAATTTTTCTAGTTTATCTTTTGAAAATACCAGATTTTATGCTTTATGAAATGGTTGTCCAACCAGTTAAATTTACTTAACTACTACTTAGTAAAATACTTTTTGACTCTTTTTGAATAATTCTTTGCACCACGGTATGGCAACACTTTATAATAACATCACCATAATTACCCTTAATAAAGCATGAACAAAGACTTAATTCTTAATTAAGTATTTACTAAGACAGAATCATTCTTCATAAACAATGTGAACATTATTATGCCAATTTTTGTTTATTCTTTATTAAGGCTAATTTAGTTAATATAAAGTGTTGCCCTTTGTATTACTAACTGAGTAATATTATTTTGAGGTAAAGGTACTCTTATTTGAGCACAGTTTTTGGCTGCTCTACCCACTTCTGATATAGAGATGGAGTTTGCTTGTTGCCTGTTGCTTCATTGTGCAGGTGAGCTGGGGATTTAAAGCAGAGAGCACTGCTTTAAAGTGTTTGTGCAAAGCAGATAAAGCAGAAGGACACAATGAAACCACTTGAGCTGAAATTGAAATATTTGTTTTGTTTTATTTCTGCAGAGCCTGAGCCAGAACCTCAAAAAGAAGTAAAAAAAGAGAAGCAGGTGGAGCAAAAGGAGGTCCTCCCAGCACCAGGTAAACTGCATTTAAATGATGAATCTACTTGCAGACAGTGGCAATGAGCGAATTGTTGGGCAAAGTTTTTTATTGATTAAAATGTATGTATTGTGTAGTATAGTACCACTGAAATATTCATTCATTCTGTTATTACTCTTACAAGAGATACATGTCAAGAAAAAAAGGTCAAAGCATAGAGGTACTGTATTTTCCGGACTATAAGTAGCTCCGGAGAATAAGTTGCACCAGCCAAAAAATGCACAAGGAAGAAGAAAAAACATATATAAATCGCATCAGACTATAAGTCGCACTTTTTGGGGAAATATATTTTATAAAATCAGAGACCAGGAACAGACATTTGAAAGGCAAGTTATAGTAATAACAGCAGAATAGAGAACAGCAGGCTGAATAGGCATTAATATGTTAACGTATTCAGATAATTATAGCATAAACAACATAACATAACATAAGTTTACCAAACTCACAATCTCACTCCAAATCACTAAATCCATTGAATTCTTCATCCTTGGTGTCATTTCGGTGCGACCTCTGGAGATAAACCATAGATCCATGATGTAAACGGAGCGCCGCTTCCTCTTCTGTGCAGCTGTCGTTAGACTCAGCATCAGTTCCAGTTAGAATTATTCCGGCCTTTCTGAATCCCGACAGGATGGTTTCGATTGTCATTGAAGTTCAAGCTTTGTCGATTCATCCAGTGACTTCCAGGAAAGTTACATGGCACACCCGCCTGGTTGCCATGAAGTTGTGTTCTCCATCCCCGCTTTCCGCCAGTCAATCAAGTTTCTCGCTCACTCCAAACTTTCTTTCTGCTGCTCGATTACCATTTTCAGCTGCATATTTCACAATTTGCAGCGAGACAGCGGCTAGTTCTACAGGAGGCATGTGCCGCAGAGTCTGAAGTGACAGTGGTACAGGAGTAATAGTATTACATGAGACTAGAGCACCCTCTCACGGCTGTCAGTCTGAAAAATGTAATATATAAGTCGCACCGGAGTATAAGTCGCAGGACCACCCAAACCATGAAAAAAGTGTGACTTAGTCCAAAAAATACTTTATGTAACTTTTATGGCAGAGGGTCTGTGCAGTACACCCTTAATGAACTGAATTGCTACATTAACTGTTACCTGAACATGCAAAATAAATGAATAAATTAGTAGCATTTTCCATGTAGCAGTGATGAAATTGGCTACGCATTTGGGCAATTCCAATAAAAAGACAGAAGGATTAGATTCAGAAACTGTAAAAGTTGTTTTGTAAGAATGTATTTGGTGTTTTGCTGCAATAAAAATCAGACTGTAATATGAAAGTGTTTAACAGGCCAAGCTCCATGCTTTTTCATCAGTCATCTCACTATCCATGTTTTACATATTACTGCTCTGGGACCTGCCAAAGAAAACTGATTGTCTCTCTCCTCTCAGCGCCCTCTTATTACCACATGTGCAGTGCATTAAATACTCCATTATGTTTACGTTACAGAAGAAGCTAAATGTTTTGTAATCTCCAGACACTGTGCTGCCAAAATATAATAGTCACATTCTGTAGTTTCCACCATAAATTGGCCTAGAGCAAAGCATGAGCAACGAATGAACCAGAGGCTGTCAAAATGATGTTAACTGTTATATAATTATTTGCTACAGACAAAAAAAAAATATTTTTTGGTATTTTATTGTTTATTAAAGATCCTCTGTGTAACTAAACAAAAAATAGACAAAATAAGAATGTTTTTTCCCCCCGTTTTATTCCACTGAAAAACACATTGGAAAAATTTGCAAAAAGTTCAAAGTTTAAGTGCACCATGAGACATTAAAGCTGCACTATGCAACTTTTTGACTGGGGGTCCATCACCTGCTTGTTTCTATGGAGATGTCATTGCTCTGCCTGTAATGTTCCACAATATGACATTAAACAGCTCTACCATACAGTTATTCAATTACAGATGGTTTTACAACTCAAAAATACCTACAAAAACAGGCGTTATGTCTGTGAATGGGGTCAACTCTCCACAGATCTGACCTGTAACTTGGTCTGCTTTGGTCTCCATGATGATAGAAAGGTTTAATGCTATACTGTGAAACAACAACAAAAAGCAATGACATGTCCACAGAGAAAAGCTGGTGATGAACCCTCCTGGTCTGATTCATCCGCTGATTTCACTTCGTAGAAACCATCTGACCTCACAGCAATAGAATTAGTTCACTCGATTGTAGACGGATACTTTTTTAAAATTTAACCAATCGCTGCTATTTGATTGCGACATATGTAATGCGCCGCTGGTATATTAAGCTTTTGTCAAATCCCGTAGGCAGAAGGGCAATAACGTCTTTCCCCTTGACCAGAAAAGTTACACAGTGTACAACCATATGAACAAACAATAGACAATAATTACAAATATTGGCCCTATAAAATAAAAAAGCTTTTGAACTAGCCGCACAATAATAGGCGTATTTGTGAGCTAAACTGTCTCAAGACAATGGAGCTCAACAGTGCTGCACTTTGAAGTCAGCTTGGGTTCATTTTCCCCATTTCAAAAAGAGAGGTTAAATGGAGGGTAGAGGCTAACCAAATGTCCATTACACAATTATTTTAGTCCAGGAAACCTAATATTATGATAAATAAATTCTTATACTCATATACTCATTTGTTTCTCACTTAGCTGATTAGCCTCAAGGAACTTTCAAATCGTTAAAACCCTCAAAATTTAACTTTTTATGGGAAACTTGCCTAAGAAATCTGAGAGGTATTGAGCTCCATATTGTGATAACTGCCCTGACAGTTTTTAACCAATATCTGGACACCAGTTAGTTAATCAACGTTTCGCATTATTTTCCCATTACATAAAACCTGTTTCCTCCCAAATTTGAAGACAAAAAGCTCTTTGTTTCTATCACAAACCCACACGGCCACAGAAATTCAGATAATTGAAAAAAATAGCAGGGAAACAGTGGAAAATGAGACGTTAGGAGCTTTGACACAGAAGCCAAGCTAAAGCCTACAGGAAAATGAATGGAAGGCCTTGTTCACGAGTTCATTGTTTCTTGGCAGTGGTTCTCACACAAAGTTAAAGTTTAATACATCAGAGGTCTGTCAGTAGTGGAAAGCATTGGCAGCACTTACACACAGTTAAACAGTAGACTTAAATCAAGCCAGATGTGGTCTATCTTATAATTATAAATAAATAACTGCACCTTTTTTTTTTTTCTTTTTTTTTTTTAATAATACGAGCCAGACTGGCCCAGAAGTCAGTGATTAGTAATATGTTTATCTTCCATAATTATTTTCTTTCAGCTGAAGAGCGTGTATTTTCTGATATTAAACATTTTACATGCCTCTGGTTTTCAGTGTTTGCAGAAGGAAAATATTACTCTTTGCAGTGCCATGTAATCCTTTTTTAACCAAATGGAAAATGATGGAAAGGCCCTAAAAGTTCAATTTTCAAATGAAGTTAAAACCATGCCTGTAAAAGTAAAGGTGAAATTAGATCTAAACCAGGACTAAAGTAGGGTCAAACCAGGACTAAAATAGATCTAAACCAAGACTACAATGAGTCTAAACAAAGACTGAATTGTGGTCACTAAAAAAAATAAAAAAAATAATAATCATTAAAAGTCCTAATGTGAGTGCACCCTAAATCATTTCAACTCAATTATATGATTTTGGAGATTGTTTGACACACAGAATCAAAATCTCAGTCAAAATTCGATTAACTGCACAGCCTTAGGTAGAAGACTAACCTAAACTAGATAAACTAAATCATGGAAACTGGAAAAACTGTCTTGTTTCCATGGAGATGTTATTGCCTTGCTTGGAATGTTCCACAGTAGATCATTAAATGTGTCTTTCTCGCATTATTTCAATTACAAAGTGTTGCTCACATGGATTTTTACTGTGAGTGGGCTCGCGTTTCCACAGTTCTGACCTGAAACTTCTCTTCATGAACATAGAGAAGCTTAACATCATTCAACATTTAAGACAAAAAAAAATCTCCATGGAAACCCCTCCACCAAAAAAGCTACATAGTGCTCCTTTAAGTATCAGGCAGTTAACAGTTTGAAAACCATTACAATTCTCTACATTACTTAGATTTTTGTTTTTTTTTCTTCCTTTTGGTAAAACACAATAACAAACCTTATTTTTGGCCTTTAATCAGTTGTTATGATATTTATATTTTATATTTTTAGGACCACCTCTCAGTATCCTTGCTATAAATATTCACTCGTCCATACTGTGTTGGTACAATAGTTTGAAAACCATCACAATACTCTATATACATTTCCTTTTTTCTTTTTTTTGTTTTCATTTCTGATTTTCTGACATGTATTTCTAGGACCACCCATTATTACCTTGATCCAGCTCAGCTAAAGTGTGCTTTGTACTAGTGTGATTCACAGACACAGTGACTAAGCCTCGCTCGGTGCACTCACAAATTCCATGTTTGAGGCTTTTCTTCTCCCTCTAATTTGATGCATTCACAAACTATATATTCAAATGTAGAGAAAATTACTGTTTTTCCAGGAAATGTAACCTTTAACGTCACGAGTCTTAAAATCTTTTCCGTAATCTTAACAATGTATGTTCTGTTTAAAAACAAAAAAAGAATTTAACGCTGTGCAGTGAACATTACTCAAGCTTTTGAATTTCTTTGTTTCTTTGGTAGTTAGAGTATTTGTAGAAGCAGGAGTATCAAAACAGCTGAGTAGACGCACACAAACGTCACTTTCAGTACATACATAAAGGCGCCAGGTCAGTAAAAATCAGTAATATTTGATGGTTTTTTACTCAAAATGATGCGGAATCATGTTATTAACATTAAAGCCGTTCATAATCATCTAAAAAACATAAATCATAGACTACAACACATGAACCGGGACTGAACCAGAACTAAAACAGGACTAAACCAGGACTAAACCAGAACTGAACGAAGATTAAACCAGAACTAAACCAGAACTGAACCAGGACTAAACCAAGACTAAACTGAACCAGGACTAAACCAAGACTAAACCAGAACTAAACCAGAACTGAACCAGGACTAAACCAGAACTGAACCAGAACTGAACCAGGACTAAACCAGGACTAAACTGAACCAGGACTAAACCAAGACTAAACCAGGATTGAACCAAGACTAAACCAAGACTAAACCACGACTAAACCAGAACTGAACCAGGACTGAACCAGGACTAAACCAGGACTAAACCAGGACTAAACCAGAACTGAACCAGGACTAAACCAGGACTAAACCAGGACTGAACCAGGACTAAACCAGGACCAAACCAGATCTAAACCAGGGCTAAACCACAACTAATCTTGGACCTGAGAGTGAGAGAGAGAACCTCGAGCAGGTTGTTCTCAAAGTGCGATCAGGCAACGGCTGTCTACGTGAGTGCACCTTTGGGACTGTCCCAACACTCAGTCCTGGTTTAGACCTGGTTTAGACCTGGTTTAGTCCTGTCCCTCATGTCTCAGGTCACTATAGGACAGTAGTGCAGATATCATGAGCCTATGCAGTTTGTTTTCACCATTGCCAGTAGCTCCGGTTTTACATTTAAGTTGTAGGATTTTTATATTTGTTATTTTTTTCTATCTTACATCGGGAGAAGTGGGTGGACAATGTACCCCTATGTAACACCCCACTACACCCCTGACCATTAGTATTTCAAAACAAAATGTTATATAGCTTACATCAGTGTTGACTGGTCCTCAAAATGGCTCCTTTAAACAGGACGATGTGAAAGCTGATGTAATTTAAAACAGGACTTATTTTGATCGCTCTAAGTATTATTAGTATTAGCTCAAATGTCACAGCATTTACCTCATTTGCCCTTAGCCCCCCTCTCATTTGGCTTGCATCACAGTTCTCCCTGTCACTTTCTTCCTAGACGCTCTAGGTCCCTCCCTCTTTCTTCCTCTCTCTGTTTCTCCCTCGTCTCTCTCTCCCTCTTTCACTCTCTCTCCCCCTCCTTCTTTTTCTCCCCCTCTGTCTTCTCTCTGTCATTCATCTTACATTCTCTCTTCCTGTCTAGATTCATACATTTGGCTTACATTTCTCCCTTTCTTCCTAGATGCTCTCCCTACCTGTCACCCCTTCTCCCTCTCCATCCTTCTCAAACATTCATCCATTCACTTTAACATTTCTCCCTGTCCCTCTCTTCGCAGCAGAGGCCCGTGCCCCGGTGAACATCTGCCAGCAGCCCAAAGAGGAGGGGACGTGTGCGAAGTTTGTCCTGAAGTGGCACTACGACAGCAGCAGTAGGAGCTGTACGCGCTTCTGGTACGGAGGCTGCGGAGGAAACCAGAACCGCTTTGAGACCTACGAGCAGTGTGTCAAAACATGCGGCAGACCAGGTAATTCCCGCATTTAACATGAATACAATGCACTATTTAGGAGGCTTTTTTTTGCGTGGTTCACATTTCCAATTAAATGCGACTTGTATGTGATCTCCAGTGTGAACTTTAAATGCCCCAAAGTGTCCCGCATGCACACTGGATGACACAGCGATGTCACACGCAGGATAGCCCATGGTCGCTTTGTTTGTTTGAGACTTTAGCCTTCTTGTACTTGGCTCGCAGGCTCTTAATTTTTTGTTGACATTGGAGCCAGGACCTATTGCTCAGCCATTTCTTTAGCAATCATTTCAAAAACCGCCCGGTTCTGATAAGACTCCTCCAATTTGGCCTGAATACAGTGATTCCCCCAAATATTAGTTAACTCACTGACCTCGCTTTCCCTCCATTGACGAGACTCTGAGCCTGACGTGTAGGTCGGATGGATGCGCTTTGGCCGTTCAGACTGACGTTGCATGTCAAAAGATCGGATATGTATCGGTTTTAGGACCACATATCCAAGTGGCCTGGGTCGCATTTGAAAAAATCTGATCTGCATCGTTCAGACTGTCATTAAAAGATCAGATACAGGTCACAAAAATCGGATATGGGTTACTTCAGGCTGCAGTCTGAACGTAGCCTTAGTGTTGACAGGTAAAATTAATTCAGCCCTGAGATCTTTGCATATAAAACAAAAGTGTTGCCTTCAGACTGGACTTTTAATACTTTGCAGTTGACTTAATCATCATTTCCTGAGGATGTGATGCTAACCAGAGGCTGTGCTCTGTCTGAAGCTCTATTACTTAAGTTAGAGTTTAATCTGAGCTTTGATTTAACGCAATCTGACTATAAAGAACTGACTTAGCTGAAACTACAATCAGTGAGATGATTTGTGTTGTTAAACAAGTCCCTCTCAAATAACATTACAGTCAGTCTTTTTTTTTCTTTTATATATACATATAGAAGCTCCCCAGCATAATGTCACTGCAAAGTATCAATACTGAAGCTCTCAACCATACAAGAGTTCGACAAAAATATATTAAAACAAAAACATCCATTTCATTTAAAAATACATACTTATGATGTGAGCGGGCTTACCTCTTCACAGACATGATCTCAAAACTTGGTGTGTACGTTGGTATGCCATTTGTTCTATTTGTTTCCATGGAGTTGTTCTTGCTTTGCCTGTAATATTACACAAAATGACATAAAATAGGGTGACCATATTTCTGTTTGTGAAAACCCGGACACCTTACAGGGGTGGGGCCTCGACATTGAGCTACACTCACCTTGCACATGGCCTCCCACTTGTCCCAACTGGGATGGAAAATGGAGATTTTCTTGTACAAGTCATTGTTAAATGCACATTTGCTCTTCGGCATGTTGCAGACTGACCGACTGTTTGTGTCTGCTCGCTCCTTCTGAGTGCACAGAGAGCTACGAGAGCCAGTCAGTTTAATGGCACCAATGAAAGGAAATGAAAACCAGGACATTTCCATCACTTAACAAAAAAACCCAGACCCAGGACAGGACACGTAAAATGGACAGGTCCGGGGAAAAACGGATGTTTGGTCACCCTAGCATAAAATATATCTAAATGTAGAGTGTTCCAGAGGTTGTCTTTAAATTTCAGTCGTAGATGTGCTGTGCCTGTAAGCTCTTCTTCTTTAAATGAAGCTAAATGAAGCTAAATAAATAATAATGGTAGCTCTTGTGCAAGTTAGATGTGTAATTACCAATCCCACATCTGATAAAAGCAAGATTGGGTTGAAGTTGGAAGGGCATCAGGCATAAAATTGTGTAGAAACATGGGTATTGTATGAGAAATATGTGATGTTGATTACCTTTGATCCTTTTTGTATTGTCCATTAGTTTCTATATAAGTTCCCAAATGTTCTAACACTGTTCTTGTTCCCTGAAGCCATGTTACTTTACATGTGACTGTGGCTTTGGGTCATTGGAATGTTCCTTTCCTATGAGCTCAGCCATGTCGTACACAGCTGCTCTGCATTACACACGTTTCCTGTAGATTTACATGAAACCGTTAATTTCTGTATATTTTGCCCTCTCCATCACAATAATCAGGCTTGATAAGCACAAAAAGCACTGGGAATTTTGTATTTTGTAAAACACGTAGAAACTGGATGAACTAACTCTTACTCAATACTCAAGTTTATCACTCTCGACACCTTGAACTGTTAAAGATATTACAAAATGTCGTGTGAAACGAACCTTAAGTTTGTTCAGATGTTCACATCAAATATTGATTTACTAATAACAGTTGAAATGCTCATTTATTCTTAATTACAAAAAACAATGGACATGATATGGCCAAGTTGCTTATGTTACAATTTGGAGTTCTAGTTCTTAAGACGATAAACCAGAAAGCAGATTGAACCTCACATGAGACTCTCATTTTAGTTGTCAGTTTCAATGCTGAAATGCAGCTGTCTTAAACCTAAAATTCCTCTGTCTAATCTGAATCGTGATGACTGAAACCACAGCCAATCATCACTGAGTGCTAGTATGACCTCTGCAGCTCAGTAAGTGCATTCTGGAGGTTCTGAACTTTCAAATGAGGCATGGCCTATCAGAGAAAAATTTGTGTGCGCTCTCTATCTGCAGGTGAAGCCACTGGCAACCCAGGTTCAGTTGTGATTGTGACATATTTAAAACTGTCAGAGTACAGGCTACATACTGTACCTTTAATTTTATTGGAATCTGAAATGTCTAATACATTGCTCTGTTTTTGTGTCCACAGTCCCCATCCACCAGGGAGCCATGACGTCTGTAAGAACATAAGAGACATCAACATGGACACACCTGTTACCTAGGCGACCATCTGGACTGCCCATAACTGTAGAGATGCAATACCAACATCAAACCATAGGTGGCTGCACTGGATTCTTCCACTCAAAACAAACTTTACCCCCAAATCCTTGAAGTTTGTACACAACAAGAAGAGAAAGACACCAACACTTTTTGCTGCATGTAAGGTTAAACAACTGGTGCTATGTAGTATGTTTTACAAATGAAGTTTTTAAATGTTTTTTTGAATTTCCCATGATTGTTACGTCAATGCAGTTTCATAATTATGAAATGTATAGATATTGTGGACAAATTTTGCAATAAACCTTTATGAGTATAGTGAAAATATGTTTAAGATTCACCTATTAACTGTGCAATTTCTTCACTTTAAGCAATCACAACCAAGAGCTTTGAGTGCCTGTGCTAAAAGACAATCAACCAGTACTTAGGTACAAAAAAATCAATACAAAAAAGTTCAAATTAAGTGCACTTCTGGGTACAAAGCCTCGAAAATACACGATTGTAGCTAGAGATTGAATGTAATTTTTGGAGCTGTTTTCTACTTATGTTCCATTTGTGTTTCATCTGAGCAGAGGGGAAATAAAAATGAACAAAACTTTCTAATAAACTTGAGCAACTCATTTTTTCCTTTCCTGTTTTGAATTTAAAATGTTCACATAAGATGTATTGATTGTGAAATAAAAGGTTTCTTAATAGTCCCATGACAGGAGATAACAGTCAAACATGTGTAAAGCCTGATGTTAATACCAGATGTAAGTAGACACAACATATTCAAATTCAGAATAATGGATTTATGTTTTAAATCAAACCACATTTTACATTCAAAGGCGGTTTGTATCTGACTGGATTTAATAATATCTTTACATACTCTTAAAGATGCAACTTTACTGGTGGAGGATTGGCCACACATTCTTTACCATGGAGGTGTTATTGCATCTTACTGTGACCAGACTCGCCTCTCCACATATCTGACTTGTAACTTGGCCCTGTGAGCTAGAGACTCAACTTGAGATAGATAATTTTTATGCCATAGTGCAGGACATTCCAGATCACACAATAAGATCTCCATGGAGACCAGAAGGTGATAGACTACCAGAATAAGTTTCTTTAAGTGCAATTAAAATTTGACCGTGAGAATTAATCTTATATTCAGAGATACCAATTTGAAAGTTCTTCTGTAGTTTACTTACATAGATGTTTTTCATCACATATCAGTTCGGAATTTTGGACATAAGGCCTCATTTCCTAGTTTGCCAGAGAGTTGGAGATGTGTGGAGATACTTTTTTTAAATAGTCCATCCGGTCCTTGTATTTGCAGAGGTCGCTGGTGTTAGGCTCGTGCGTGTCAATGGCCATAGTTAGCCTGCCACTAAAAAGAGTCTTACCCACTCCACAACACACCCAAAGCAAATCTGTTATAACACCAGACTGTCGATGTGAATATTTGTGTCAATAGAATAATTTTAGAAGTAAAACCAACCTTGCATTTGAAGGATTTATGTCTGAGCAGCAGCAAGTTGCACTTCCTGATAGAAAGCTTGGCAGCGGCGGACTGGTATATGAGAAAATAGTCCCTCAATATGGAACGATTCATTAGATGCAAGGTTAGTTTTATTTCAAACATTATTCTGTCAACACAGACATTCACATCGACAGTCTGGTGTAATAATAGAGTTGCTTTGGGTGTTTTGTGGAGTGGGTAAGACTGTTTTTAGTGGCCGGTTAACTATGGCCATTGACATGCACTAGCCTAGCACCAGTGACTTCTGCAAATACAAGGACTGGATGGAAGATTTTAAAAAAGTGTCTCCACACGTCTCCAACACTCCAGCTCACTAGGAAATGAGGTCCTTTGTCCAAATTCCAGACTGCCCCTTTAACCTATTTATAACCTATTTATAACCTATTTTATAACCTATTTATAACCTATTTTATAAGTAAAAAGCCAAGAAACGTTGAAATTTATTGAAAAGTACATGAGAACAAAATATAGCCCAGTCTGCTGTCCATCTCCATCTCAAAGACACTCCTTTGAAGATAGTGAGGTGTGGATCTGTGCCAAAGAAAAGAAAGGTTGGAGATGGGAGTTACAGAAGCCATTTTTGTTAGGAAAAACATCTCCAATTTATAACAGTCCTACCTAACAAGCAGACATGTCTTCACTCTAAAAAAACATTTGTCCAGTTGATAGAATTAAATTTTTCATTTGGATCATATGTGGACAACTGAGGGATTACACAGACATTACAAAATATAACCCAGTAAAAGCCACTCACTTCTCTCCACTGCAATTTTCCTTCATTTGAAACACTGAAATTGATCTTATTTACAATCAGCCTTTCCTCCAGCTCCTTCCTTTATTGTCAGAGTGTATTGTTTGTATTGGAGTTTTACTTTGTTGCTAGGCTAACATGGACTCCCCTTTTCTGAGACATGATCTTACTTCAAACAGAGAGAATCCAGAGGAGATGCATGATTTACACAGCAAGTCCACAGCCCGGGAAATACTTGGCCTCCGAAATACACCAGATGTCATTCCTCCTCTTGTGTTTGAAATGGGTCTGTTTTGATAAGCTTATTTCCTCATATTTTACACCACAAGTTCACGCACATTTAGACGATTCCAATGAACAGCTAGTCTCAGCTTTTATAATAAACATATGTGTAGCTTAACCAATCGTGTAATCTTCAAAACAGCACCATGAGATGTTTACGCAAAGGCATTCTTGTCTTTTGAGGTCATACATGTTCATAAAGAGCTTAAATGAAACTACTGGGGCCATGACATGTGAACAGACATGGGGTAAAGAAAGAGTGCTTTTCTATGACCATTCACTCACTTGAAATATTCAGGGCTTTTTCAATCGCTTTGGCACATCTCTCTAGTGAAAATTGACATTTGCAAAACAGCTCACAAAAATCCTAAACAGAATTTTACTTTTCCAAAACAAAATTTTGTCTCAGCAAAAGGCAGTTTTTCATTCAAAACTGATGAATCATCTCCCAAAAGCAAGTTTTACCATCAAAACTCTTCAATTTTTCTTTGATTTAGCAATATTTAATCAAACGTATTTTAACTTTTTGGGTACTTTTTAAAGACAATACAGTAAAGTGTATTTACTTTGTTGACATGATTCGGCTGCAGCTGCAAGCCATTTTTAGAACTGTCACCGGTGTTGGTGGTGTTGTTACTTCCTGTAGGCGTGGTCAGCCTGATTGACCTGGCAGGTCGCTCAGACTGACCAAGCCTCAAGTCGCCAAATGTTCTCTGGAGGAGGGTGTCCCAGGTGTGCAAAAGGAGGAACGCTCCGTCATCATGGTTAATGCTGTCCGTGCCTCGTTTCCTGATTTCAATGTCCTTCCTGATCCAACGTTTGAACTTGTTGTTTTCCGATCCAATGACCCGAGCCTCGTACCAATCCAGAATGTGGTCGGGCGACATTAATTCTATGTTTCTGAATTTGCAGTACATCTCACAGTACATCTTGCAGTACTTTTTGCAGTACCGCAGATACTCTCTCCTAGCGGTGTGAAGGTTGGAGACTGCATCACTTCCAGCTCTTCTTCCTGTGAGCTGCAGCAGATCTGGGGCTTCGGGGGCTTCGGAGTGGTCACCCTCTGCTGCAACAACAACAGTGGCCAGATGGTCTGAAGGTGCTCAAAGGACGGCACAACAGCGACTTCGGACAGAAGGACATAAGACAATTTCATCTGAAATCAACATATATTTTGTCTTAAATGTCATTATTACTTGGATTACACAGGGAAGTTTTTACCTACTTTACATGTTTTGTTTCTCCTGTCTCACAAAAAGAATCACTCATTTTGAGTAAAAACTGTAATTGGAGTGAACCTTGACCAAAAATGTCACATATTTAGTTTTTTTCTGACTAGACAAAGACTGAATCTACTGCTACCAAAACTACTACTTCTAGTCTTACTGCTACTACCACTCAAGCTACTAATGCTGCTAATACTACAGCTACTGCTACTACAATAGGGTGACCAAACGTCCGTTTTTCCCCGGACATGTCCGTATTTTGCGTCCTGTCCAGGGCGTCCAGGTTTTTTTTTTAAAGTGATGCAAATGTCCGGGTTTTCATTACTGTTCATTGGGGGCATTAAACTGAGCGTCTCCTGTAGCGTCTGTGACTCAGAAGGAGCGAGCAGACACAGACAGTCGGTCAGTCTGCAACATACCAAAGTGCAAATGCACATTTAACAATGACTTGTACAAGAAATTTCCATCCCGGTCGGGACAAGTGAGAGGCCATGTGCACAAGTTGTGAAGTGAGAGTACAGTGGTCCTTCGTTTATCGCGGGTGTTACATTCTAAAAATAACCCCTGATAGGTGAAATCTATAAAGTAGTCAATGTTGTATTTTACAATAATTATATCTGTTTTAAGTCTGTAAAACCACTCACCTCACACTTTATACACTTTTTTCAGACAGGAGAGGTGCAACCCATTTTGCATCCTTAAAACTTATTGCTGTACTTATGTTATTTTCCTTCTTTATATAACGAACCAAAGATTCTTTTATTCCGTAATGGAGCCCTACAGTGCAGAGTGCCGCACGGGTCCATTTTTGGAGACCCCCAGTACAACACCACACCCGCGCAGTACAGGACCACACCCGCCTTTTAACCCGAGATTATATCAAACTTTTGCGCTGCACACGCCACGGACGGAACTAAGGTCGTTTTCACACTGCTAGTTCGATTATTTGGTCCGCACCAGGCAATAAAATTGTTATTATGTAGCAAATACACTCCAGTGTGGTCCGCTTTCACACCGGCAAACAGACCAATACTGGTTAGATTGACGTGTCTCTGTTTCCCGAGAAAACAGCGATACCTCCAGTTATCAACACCGATGTTCCCTGTTAATACCACGGGCCGTCCTCATCTCAAATTATCACCATGAACTTATAAAACAGCAACATGTAGAACTTTGTACAAACTCACCGCATCAGCCCAGAGTTCGGGTAACAGCAGCAGCCAACAGCGCTCACTGTAGCGCGCAGCTCCTCAGGACGGGGCTGGGGTCTGGTCCTTGGTCTTCTGTCGTCCTACAAGCGCGTTGGTCAGATGGTCTGAAGGCTCCATCCTCCATGTGCTGGTTCCAAACGGTGGCGAGCAAGACCAGTGCTTGATGGACTGGGTCTAAGGGGGAACGTTCCGTCGTCTGTCTGGATCTAGTCCGAGTGTATTTCTGACATTAGGCTAAAAACAGTTGTATCAATTGAATAGGCTATTGCCATAAAATTATTTGGTTAATTAAAGCCTAAAATAACAAATGCTGGTTGCTACGTGAACACGGGGAACACCGGGACCTCTCTTTTTGACTCACTCTGGAGCCACACGATCGCACGTACTTGCTCTGATCTTCGTGTATTACATTGTCTGTATTGGTAAAACAATTTGAAAATGAATCATGGCTGCATCTGGACAACAATCTGTTACTGCCCTGGAGTCGTACAGCGCGTCACTTCAGGCAGAGGAGACGCGTTTCCTCCCATGATGCATTTCGAATAGTTCGTTTGGACCTGCTGTCTATGGTTTGGACCCGGGTTCGCGTTCACACCAGAGGAACCGCACCAAAGTTGGTCATTTGGTG